GCCCGCGCAACCTCTGCTTCTCCATCGGCCCCCCCCCCGGGCTCTGGGTCTCATAAAGAGATTTCCTGGAGCAGACTGTGGATCATTTCTATTTTATTTTCCAGAAATCACCATTTCTGCAAAGCCTTTGTAAAAACAAACACGTCAGGATCGAACCACTCGGTAACACCCAAGAAACCATTTCGACCTCCTCTCCCTTCGCACGAACGCCACCAGAACCTCATCCCAACTTGACCGATTTAATCACACCGAGACTTTGCTCTATTAACTCCACAGCGTGCCCAGGAAGTTTTGGGGTTCCCCCCCCCCAAAAAAAATAATCTTATGATTTCTTCTGGGGCAGAAATACCAACCGTGAGCATCCTCCGTGTCCTCCTGAGCACGAGGAGAACTGCTCACCTTTCCGCGAGGGCCCCAGCGGAAGGAGCGGGCTGCGCACACGAGTTTCCCCGTCTCCCCCCCACGTCCACCCCTCCGTAGGCGCGAGGGGTGCGTTTTTAACGGGACCCTGACACCGCTCCGATTCTTCTCCTCTTCCTCTGGCGAGAAACCAGAAGAAATCCCTTAAATGCTCCTTCTGGAGAAGCGAAGGCTTCAAATATGACGCAGTCAGAAGCGGTTACCGTCAGTGTCACCGCTCCGGTGACGGAGTCCAAGGGCTGACACGTGTTCGGAGCGCCGAGCCAGGGTTCCCCGCAGGAACGGGGCTAGACGGAGCCGCGCTGCTCCGTATCTCACCCAGGAACGATAACCGGGAAGGGACCTGAATCCAGGCCATGACAGCACGCCAAATCGGGTTATTACATCACGGACGCTCGCTGAGCGCGGCCACAAGCGCCGCGTGCCCTGGGGAAAGGGCAGGAGACCAAAGCAGCTCCTAGTTTATGACCTCTGCAAAGAGATAGACAGGACGGTTTCTGAGCAGAGCCGCGGGAGAAGCTCCCACCCGTTCAACCTACCTACTACGCAGTTTCTACCTTGAGCAGCACCGGCTGGACACCCCAAGGGCGTTTATTCTTCTCCGAGCGGCCGCTTGGACCCCAACACACGGATCCCCCGGGGTAGCAAACGTCCTGAACAACACCCCCACCCCCCCAACAAGCACTTTTCAGAAGCCGGCACTGTCTCACACAGCCCTTCACAAACCCGTGAGAATAACAGAAAAGCCCCCGTACCACCTTAATCCCCAAATTTTCCACCTTCTCTTTCTCTCACGACCATCTCACCAACCTTTTACTTACCTGCTTTCCTGATACCACACAGTTATTTCAGGTATTTTTATTTTTTTTCTTCCCCAACAAGCACTTTTCAGAAGCCGGCACTGTCTCACACAGCCCTTCACAAACCCGTGAGAATAACAGAAAAGCCCCCGTACCACCTTAATCCCCAAATTTTCCACCTTCTCTTTCTCTCACGACCATCTCACCAACCTTTTACTTACCTGCTTTCCTGATACCACACAGTTATTTCAGGTATTTTTATTTTTTTTCTTTTTGAAGTTCTTGTTACCCCGAGCTGGATATTTTTCATTTTTATTTTTTTTTAAATCAACACGTAGCTATGGAAACCAACTTTTATCCAATGCGCAAGAGCCTGGAGGCTCCCCAGCGTAACCAGGGAAGAGCAGAACCGCAAGCGATATTCAAAAGTTTGCTTTTGGTGATCACAGCACGTAAGAGATTCGTGTTTCCCCAGCCCTAAGATGGGAGGTTTTAGGGAAAAAAAACCCAAACCCACCATGCTGAGGAGCCGCTCTCCGGACAGGCTGATTTCATAGTACGAAGGGAACACCTAAATTTGCAGAGCTGAGGTAGGCAGTCGGTATGAAATTGCACTGGAAGTACCGGGTTTACCTTATCTGAAGTAACACCTGGTACCGGGATTTCAACAGTTCTGATGAAATAAGCAGGAGAACCCAATGACAACAGAGAATAAAGAATATTAACTTATAGCTTAAGACAAATTTGGAGACTTTTTTTTCTTAATACCACGCAAGCCACGTTTCCCTTTTAAGATTTAAAAAAAACCCCAAACAAACAGCGAGAGCCAATTCAGCACCTACCGCAGAGGTTTGGCTTTTTTTTTTTTTGTTCGTTCGAAGAGAAGCAACAAGATCTCTACAGGCAAAGGAGGAGAAATAATCAATACCAGAGCTCTTGAAATGTTTAATTGGAGAGGGCTTTATTTTCTGCTTAGGAGAACTGGAACTATACAGCCGGTTTGCACTGGACCAAAGCTGGGATTATTTAGTTTTTTCTCCCCCCGTTTTTATTTCGCTAAACATAAGCAATGCAGTGTAACTGGAAAACAACGACTTACAGTGTTTAAACCACAAGTGGATCGAGAGGAGCTTGAGAAAAAAACAAAACAAAACAGCCTTCTAGCTAAAACTGAAAATCCACAATACAGTCCGCCCTACAGAATGGCACCGTCGTGTCTAAATAATGGAGTGACTTCAGCATCCTACGTACCGCTACACAGCTCAGGCTGGCTACCGATCTTCCTGCAGTGGGAACTACTGGCCGTTAGCCTCTCTCGTTTGTAATCAGAACCAAAAGGCATCTTCAAGTTTTAAAGTCGAAGCAGCGGCAGGAGCGGCGAGGGCTCCCGGTGCCACCGCGCGACGGGACAGAGGGACGATCCGCGCCGAGGCAGCTGCACTAAGGGAAGCTACGGACGGACACCGAGGGACGGGTGCCCCACGCTAAGCTGGCTCATGGTTTGCTATCTTACGGTCAATTTGTGAATGGCTTTAATAAATCAGTTCTACAAACCAAGAGATTGGGCTGCAGAGCAAATATCGCTCATTCGGGTTAAAAACGTGTTTAAAGGAACATGCAGAGGGTTGGGGAGTTCATTCCGCCAGAGCACCAGAGTTCACAAGTCAGCTTCGCCACCATCAGTGCCGCGCTGCAATAAACACGCCGCGTCTCTAAGAGGGTGGACGTGGGAAGCACTGAGGTGTGACCTTTAGCATTGACGATTCCTCGGCTAGGAGACACGTCAATACGACTCAAGCAGCTGTGGCATGCCAGAAATGGTGGGTTTAACATTCTCTCTGCTTATGAAAGATGCTACTGTCTTATTTTGATTGTGTTCTCACCCTTGGCTAACCATGCGTCTCTGCAGGTGAAAAACATTGTGTCAGGTGCCACAGAAGATATTGAGATATGAAATGAGCTTTTTTTTTTTTTTGGTGTGGTTTTGTTGTTTGTTTTTTTTTAAACTGGAAATGAAGTTCATTTGGGAGAGTGCAGGGTTGGAGTAGGTTTTGTTTTTTTTCCTTTCTTCCCCTCGCCCTTTCCTTTCTACATGTCACCAAGGCACTTCACTCTGTGCGTAGGATGATGTGGATCCCTGATTCTGTGAAAACTGGTCCGCTCATCTCGCCAGCCCTCAGCGCAAATGAGGCATCTTCAAAAGGTTTCTGCATCTGACCTGCAGAGAGCAGACACCAGAAAGTTCAATTAAGCTTCAGCAACGAATGGAAGATCTTTCCGAGCAAGCAAGCCTCAAATGAAGACAGCTTCCAGGCAAACAACAAAGTCACCAATTAATAACTTGCAGGGGGTGTTTGTTTTCATCTACTCCCAGAAGATGATTCAAAACAACTCATTCACACATGCATATACACAGACTTTTTTCCCTTTTTTTTTTTTTTTGTTCAGATCCTGCAGACATCACTGCAGCAAGGAAAGATACTCGGAGAGCTGCGGATCCAAAAGGCAGAGGAAATCTGTTCTGCAGACTCACTGGCACAAGTGGACGTTCGTCTTCCAGTCTCGTGCGCCCTCCAGGTACACAGGGGGAACGGATGCGGTGTGCATTACAAGCTGCGCTAAATAATTCACAAGGCACACATGGATAATGTCATGACCTAGATGGGAACTGCTCTCAGGGCTCCCGTCTCCAAGTCACTGAGTTTCAGGAGGTTTAGTAATCCGGGCTCGGGAAAGCCAGAGGTGCTCAGAGGAAGGACCCCGCGTGGGGATTCGCGAGCGGAATGACTGCGGCTTTGCAGGGGGGGGAGAAGGAATAAGCAGCACGAGTGCTCAGCCAGAATAATCCAAGCCAAGGGGAGACACCAGCCTGCTACAGAGGATTCGAGGGGGACGGGGTTTTTCCCCAGTTTCCCCGAGATAAAGGTTAGAGCAGAGAAACTGCCCACCCCAGCCACAATAACGGGGCTTTACTGTTACCCAACAGCTCAAAGTCTCACCGGGGGACTCTCCGCAAGGACAAGGTGGCTGCGAGGGAAGGCCGGGAGGTGACAGTACCCCACAGACACAGGGGGAACCCTCACGCTCTGCTCTTAGCACCGACCACGCTCGCAGAGATGCCTGAGACGACGTACAGGCCAGCGCCTTGCCAAAGACGCAGCATCAATCTCCTGTAAGTTTATGACCCTCGTCTCCGAGCTTCAAGGCGGTGCTGTAGCTTTGGACTCCGCAGCAAAGGAGTTAGGAGGGGGCTGCAGAAAGCTTTTCGGCAGCCTGACAGCCGGATCGGCAGCAGATATCGCAGTGACACACTAATCTCTTTGCAAATTCAACCTCCCCGACCCCTTCAAAGCCCACGCATCCCAGACGCATCGCATCTAGCCCAAGAGCATCTCCAGAATTCATGTTTTCCTTCAGGATCTACATCCATCCATACCCCTTTCTCTAGCAAGGCAGATGCCACAAAAGATGCTCACTTCCTCCCTTTCAGGATTAGTAATAGCTTCAGCTTGGCGTTTTCCCCTTCCAAAGGAAAAAAAAAAAAAGTGGTTTATTACTGAAGTGACCTGATGCATACGGTTTTCCAGAGTTTCGCTTCTCTCACGTCAGCATTTAGATTAATTGCTAGGAGAGGCGAGCAGCTTGCAAGCTCCAGTTACAAAGGCAGCGTCATTCACCGTCAGACAGACCTGCCTTGTCACCTGAATTTTTTGGTTATTTTCCACTAGGACCTGAAATCTTTATTTCAGATGAGGTAACAGCCTCCCTGCTACACCACAGTGGTCTTCCTCAAGCAGAAACATGATTTATTTGAAGGGTTTCAGGAAGACAAATTGAAATGTTTTAATAACTTCACCTCTGAAATAACCAGTGCTCCAAGTTCTAACAAATTACGTTTTCAGCCCAGTGAAAAAAAACAACCAACCAAACAAAATAAAGGCAGAGAGATGGGTTTGGCCACCACGCATGGTTCCAATGCCATCTAGTGGAAACTGGCTTTTGTGACATTTCTTTACATTTTGGTGCAGCCGAGTTTCCGCCAAACCCAAAACAACAGACACAGCACCCTAGGGTTAAGGTTTTGTTATATATAATAAAATATCACTGTTTAGCCCTGCCTGAAAGGATCTATTTGAGGAAGGAACTGCTGCTGAACTGTACCAACGCTGCACCCTAAAATAGAATAGTAATTAAAAATAGTATTTTGAGGGGAAAAAAAGCCCCAGAACTACAGTCCTAAATACAGTTTCACCTGCCGAAGATGGGGGGGGCTTCACCTAGCAGCAGGGGCTGAAAGAGCAACTCCGGAGCCCCTTCCGCGGTTACGTCTGCAGCAGCGAGGCTGCCGGCGTTTTAAATATTCCCAGGACGTCCTAAGCCGGGTAACAGCCCGTGCAAAAATCTCCTGTCAAATCTCTATACTTGCTGTTGGGCACGAGCCTGAGATGAGCTTCTGAATGCTTCAGTCCACAAATCCCAACGTGAGCTTCGGAAAAACCATTAAAGCGACACGCCGGACTGCTGCTCGCCGGTTCAGAGGTGAGCAGCTCTTACTACAGAGCTTCCTCTGGGATCACTGCAAGTCCCCGGGACTTTGGGCACGGATTGTTACAAGAAATATCGCATTTTCTCTCCCTGGAGGAACCTTTCTTGACCCTCTTCAAATAAAATATGCACGGACACTCTTTTTTTTTTTTTTTTTTTTTTTTTTTTTTAAGGTTTTGGTTTGTTCTTTGAATATTGTAGCTGCACTCATGGCATCATTGCTTTCTATTTTCTTCCTAGTCGAAATTACCGCAAAAAACATTTGTAAGATAAAGCAAAAGAGGTTTCAATGTTATGCTTTCCTGTCCCAAAGATTCTTCCTCCCACACCAGCAAATCTCATTAACGAGGAAGCATCCACGAGATTTTTGTTGTCGCTCCCTCACTGCACTGATCAATAATCCTGTAACAAAACCTCTCGCCAGCGACATTATTTCAGTGGGCTGTGAATTGTTCTTATTTCCACAATTTGTTAATAGCTTTCTCATTGAAGATTAGAACGTCAAATCGTTTATCTGGCGTGCCCTTAGCAAGACTTATCCACTTCTTCCCTATTCACGGCTCATTAATCTGTGCAACTGGATTTCCATTCAGTGTAGCTGGAAAATCCTTTTCCAGAGGGAAAAGCCAATTTCACAAAGGGCGTTTGCACAACATCTCCTCTCTGCCTAGAATAACATTACGGTTGCATTCCTAATTGGTTTAACTTCTAGGCATCAAACTACATTTCCTGCACAGCAGGCTGCCTAGCATATAAATCCATTTTCACGTTCGTTCCCCCTGCCAAGAAGATCAACGTCAATCCCGTAATCTTGATCTGGCGCTCACGTTGCCAGGCTGAGCTCGACTCACCTCTTCCAAATGCACCCAGGTCGCCTCCCGCTTTCGCCGAGCTGCAGTCGCTAAACTGGGAAGCCAGAGATTCAAAATCCTCCTCTCCCGATTTTATCTTCTGGATGTAACCTGTAAATACAGGGAATAGTTCAGTCAGGGGAAGGAAAAATGGAGGAAAAACCCCCACAAAAACCTCAGCCTAAGCATTACATCCTACAGCAAGAAGGGCATATATGCACACCGCGTACACGAAGCAAGGTTTTCAAGCCTCCTGAATAAAGACAGAACCAGAACTAAACTTTCACAACACCCCAAAACCACTTGTCTCAAGTTGTTCGTGGTTTTTTTTTTCCTCCCCCAAGCACGTTTCCATCTTTGCACGGTGGTCCATTTCTATTTAAGCTTCTATCAAGAAAAAAAAAAAGTCGATTCTGCCTACTACTACCCCTGAAGCACAAGAATTTATTATTGGGCTTGAAAATAGATGAGCTTTTGATTTCAGAAGGGCTCACCTCAGTAGAAGACCGAGTATGAAGAATCCCCAAGGAGTGAATTATTTGTCAAGACAGCTTTTTAAAAGGTCAGGTAAGAAATACTCGTAGTCTTAACTGAGAGCTCCGCCTCACCATTCTGAATCTTTCTGGACCCACGGAAAACCCCCCTGCTAGCTCGTAACAAGAAAACCTAAAAGATAAATCGTATTTTCCAGGCAATGGCTTGCTAATGCGATTGGGGAGCCACTAATTAGAGATCCTGGCTGCTCTCAGAGACAAGCAAAGCACAAGTGTCACCAACACATCCCCTAACACCGCACGAGGAAAATTTTTCACGGATCCCTGAGACGAGGAGAAAATCCTGCGCAGTTTCACGCGACTCAATCAGCTTCAGCTCCTTCATTAAAAGGAGCGTAACCACTAATTAAAATCCCAAGCCATCGCCGGCCCAATTTCCAGCCACCAAAATCCAATTTAGCACCAGTTGCAAGAAATGTTTCTGCACCAGGACAGTCGTGTAAGCCAAACCTGCGAGCGTAGGTCTAACCCTCCACCTTCCAAAGCAGCCCGCTCCTGCCAGAGGAGTTTGCCTTCTGCACTTTGGACCACAAGTGATAAATTAAGACTAAATTAAATCGCAAGAAAAGCATTCATCCATGTATTTTAAGCAAGGGAGCATCTCCCAGAGGAACCCATCCACACATCCCCTGAAACGCAGAGGAACAGCCCCAAACTGGTGCTCCAGCTTCCAACCCAAAGCAACTCTCCGTACCAGGTGAAATCCAGCTAAATTTATTTCTCACTAAAGATCTGCTTGATTTTTAAATCCTTCTATCCAGAAACCTCCCGCCAGCTTTTGAAAGAAATCGGCAAAGCCCATCTTCCATTTTAGCCCCAAGCAGTCTTCCACCTTCAAAAAGAAACACTGAGAAGCAGCTGATTTTCTTTAACAGGAAAAAAAAAAATAATATATAAATCAAGATAAAAGAAATGCTGTCGCTCCCCCTCGAAGCTTTTAAGTCTCCTGGTTTCAATAACCAAACTTCCTATTTCAGGTCACTCCCATGTAAGCCCTGTAGCTTGCATGTATAAAGAGCCTGGCACTTTGCTAGATAAGCCTCTGAAAAAATAAAATAAAATAAAATTGGGCTGCATATCGTTTGTTCCAGCTGTAAGCAGTGGAAGATCCCTACCTGGAAGAGGGTCACGCACGTAATTCAAGAGGTAGGCTTTATTATTTGGAGGGATGCTCTCACAAAAGGAAGAGGGCGGTTTATGACGCAAAAGGGTGAGGAAATAAGTATTTTCCAGCTCATTTTACTGCCATATACTTATATATGCCCGAGGAAACAGCTGCAAGGGCTGGGGGCAGGTAAGAAAATATTCCCTAATGAGAGAACGGAGGTTGCCTCTTAGGAGACGACACATCCAGCAGCAATCGAAAAAGCAGGCTATCGATTTTTGAACGAACCCCTTTATTGCGGTTTGATGCTAGCAAGACCAAACCGAAGGGATTTTAAAAGTCTTCACGTTAGTCTTTTACCCTGCAGCCCGTACTTCCTCCCCAATTCAGTCATCTCTAAATCACCTGCCACTAGCCTCAATCTTTGGAATTCAGCAAGGAGTTTGGGACAGCTAGGTTTGTTTTTCCAGCTGGATGGGCCAGGAGGAAAAGCTACTAAAAAAAAGGGGGAATAGGAGATCGATTACCTCTGGTTCTATAATTAGTAATATATTTATTTTTTTTAAACAGGTGTCCTGAATATAATTCAAAAGCCACAGAAAATGATCTTACTTCCTAAAGTGCGTAACCTGCTTCTAACAGAAAACACCCAGCACCGGTACTGTCACCTAAGTGAGGTTATACACATTTATCCCACCTGCTGCTTAGAGCGCACACGTACAGGTGGAGAAAGTCTAACATGAAAGTCTGAAACTCTACAAAACTTAAGACAACAGCTCTTTATCCTGCATTAAAAAGGAAAAAAAAAGGATTATTTATCCGGGTGGAAGACAGTTCACAGCATTCATATGATTTAGGAAAGAAACTGATAGCGGTTCATCCTATTAAGCTAAGCTGCTTGAGCGTAAACAGTCTGCTTGCTGACGAAACAGAGTTTATCCTAAAAATACATATTTACACCACCATAAATGCGTATCTAATTGCACACAGCCGCCAGTCCCCAGCAAGCACCCGCCAGGAATTACAGCTTTAGGTACGTTAAAGTAATAAAGCATTGAAATTAAGGATCGCAGAGTTTACATTTAGATCCAAAACCGCCCGCCCTGGTCACATCAGCAGGTTCCTAGCGGTAAAGCGTTTCCTAAGTGCGCAGAGCAAACCAGTCAACTACACGTCGAAACAGAATTTAGTTATTAAAACCTCCTAATTTTATGCCAGTGACCAGCCTGAGAGCAAAACTCACCTGTCCTAAGGCAGATAAGGGGTTTCCAGCATAAAACCTAAAGTTTTTTTAAAGCTAAGGGAGTTGTTTCAAGTCACCTCTACCAGAACAAGACTCTTGCACCTCATGTCTAAACTTTAGCTGGGGGAAGTGGGATTAACGAGCCTTTTCCCCAAACGATCTCAGCCATTTAAAACAAATTTTGCCGATTAGGTGCTGTCCAGGTTTTAATAAACTACCTCTAAAAACGGCGTAAGTGAAATCGAATAACGGGACATTAGTGCAAAAAGAGCAAGACGAAAAACGGCAACGGATTGCGCTGAAATGGGGAGCATTTGTGCTGAAATTGGGGAAGAGAAGCTTTCGGGGACTGAAATTTGGGATGAATCCTAACTGATTCTGCAACGAACAGGGCTCAGCTAACAAAACATCCAAATGAAAGGAGGATCAGAATATTAAACGGGACCCGAACCATCAAGCAAGATCCAACGACACCAAGCGAACTCGCAGACGCATTTACAAATGCAACAACAAAATAAATAATAATAATAAATATCTGCTGTATGCAGAGAGCTTGATCGGAAAGAGGAGGATGTAAATGCGCAATTACAAATTAACTCCAAACCGGGCAGTATGACTTTAAAAGCAAAAAACCCAGCACCGAAGTCACGGTATCCTCGGCAGAGTAGAGAAGGGCAGTAGTAAATGCCAGAGTAAAAGGCACGGCCAAGAGCTAATCCGGAATATTGCACACCACGATGAACCCGTCCTCAAGAAAGATTAATCGAAACTGAAGTGCAAAGGAGGGCTAAGACTAGAAACAGCAGAAGGGATGACCTACATTACCAGAAACTAAAAGCCTGGTTAGCTCGGCACGCAAAAACCAGGCTGGTAAAGAGCAGGGCTCTCTGAATCCACTGAGAGGTCAACATCAGGAAGAAATTAAATTTAATTAAGTAATTAAACAACACTAATGCAAGAAACAACGGGTAGAAACTGATCATAAGCCGTATTTAGCTGGAAACCGGGTTTCTACACAGCAGAGCAGAGACGGTCTGAAATAACCTTCACAGAGCCCTAACTGCTTCTTAAGCGGAGCTTGACAAAGCTTGCAGCGGGGCCTAAGAGGTTTCGCCGCCTTTAATATCAGGGTCAGGCTCAAATCTGAAACATCTTTCTAGTCCCACATTCCCTGCGACGTTACCACCCATCCGAAAAGCGCCTCGTGAGCCGAGTCCTCCGACTCCCGCTGTAACACAACGGGAGAGCTAACCTACATTTAATCCTCCGCTGCAACTTTCTTAACGGATTAAAAATCGTTCACGGAGGACGCACCCCTCCAGCGCTCTCGACTCTCCTCCCTTATTATCGGAGAGAAGCCATCAAATGGAATATTTGACATCAGTCAAGTTCACCTACAGAAAGTGTTTATCTTTAGGATCGTCCCCTCTCCTGTGGGAGCAAAGAACTCCCTAATCAAATTTCTTTCTTTCTCAGATTTTTATTGCAGAAAGTGTCAACAGCAGAGCTAGATTCAGAGGAGGGGATCTCAGAGATAACCCATCTCCAAACAAAACACGAAAATGTGTGGTGCTGTGCCTGTCACAACAAATTCCTCCCCAGAGACCTACTTCGACAATTCTACGCTATAATTACATCCACCAGGTACAGTACATCTGTTCAGAGAAGTTCACCGATGCCCCACTGTCAGGAGCCAAGCCGTGCATCCTCCCAAAAAGCTCCAGCTTTTCTAGAAACTTAATTTACAGTCATTTTCAAGAAGCCACCATAAAATAATTAATCATAAGCTGATGTTCCCTAGGACTTTCCCAGGAATAGTGTTTATTGGGGACAAACGTGGACAGAAGGGCGGTTGGGTTGGGGTTTTGTTTTTTGGGGTTTTTTTTGGACAATGATATTCCCATCATAGGGATTAATTCCCTAACGGCCTTTACCGGAGACAACAAGCAGGGTATTCACATGAAATAAGTTTTAATCGTGACTCTTTCCTCTTCAGATTATGAAGCCTAAGAGTTATTTGATAGCAAGAAAGCCCTGAAGTTGTCAAGCTTAACGTCCTTCTTTCCAGCTAAGGGAAGTTTAAGCTGTTTCTTTCCATCACCTTATCGGGTAGCAAAGAACTGTGGCGTCTCAAAGAAAAGCACCCAAACAAAGACAGAAGGATGACAATTGTTAGGTCCAAATAGCATTAATCAAGCTTCTAAAGATAACCAGTTTGCAGAACATCTACATATCAAAAAGCCTAAGCAGTCACAAGCTCCTGAAATACCTCGTTAGAGAAAATGAGACAATTTTCTCTTCTAAAAAGTAAATGGTTCCCTCTTACAGGGATCCAAGTACACCACTGCCTGCTTAGAACAGGCCAGCATCGTGCATCATTTAACCTCTGATCTGTAGAAAGCTCCCCGCTGGCCTTTTGATGACTCTCATCCCAAGAGATGGGTCTACAACAGTTTTTAAAGAATAAAAAAGAAAAGAAAATGAAAGAGGAGAGACAGAGAATTTACAGCTCGGCTGCAATATTTCCATCCATTTATCTTTACACCAGTCTCAACTCCCTCGGCACACATCTCTGCACCAGGCGCCCATCCCGCTTTCTCGCCCCCGGTCACGCTTTCTCAGCCACCCTAACCTGAAGGAGACAATTCCCTAAAAAAATTCCCATCTGTGCCAGTTAATTTAACCTCCCCTTGCGAAAGGCTGTGAACAGATACCACCTGCTGGTCACTGTCTGGGTGCTTCAAACTATTCAGCAAAGATATTTCCCCCCCACCACGGGGCTTGCAAATAAGAAAGTCCTTAAATTTACTGTTGGTTAGGACCAAGGCAATAGCCAAAACATTCGTCCTATCTTCCCTCCCTCATTGCCGAGGCCATAAAAGATAAGACGGTCCCGGTTACGTTATCTACGCGCTCGCAGCTAGCCTCCGCAACCTCGCTGCCAGGATAAACAACGCTGCCCACTGAAGAGCACGGTCTCAGTTTCATCAATTAATCAGTGGGACTGACTGAAACCTCACCGCAAGCCCCCGAATTCCTTATCCTAAGAGGGGAGAGAAGAAAAAA